TAAAAAAAAGAAAAAAGCAAATAAACACCATAAGAGCAATAAAAGTTATCAGGCTGCATGTCTGCTCGCATATTCCCAGGATTGGAAAGAAACATCCCCTGCAAATATGCAATGGTCACTGTCTGAGCCAAAATACAAGGTGGTTATGATGACTAGGATGACCAAGTCACTGAATCTGGTCACTGCACTCACATTTAGTTATTTCAGATGTGCTTTTTTTGACAAAAACAGCACCCAAAAACGTGCAAACCAGAAGGAAAGGTGATAAAAAAGAGCACCCAGACAATCTACTAGGATGCAAACACCACACTGCACTATACTGATGCATATGTTTGCATCAGGTGACCACACAGCTGAAAAAATGAGCTACCATTAAAAGCTTCTGGTGGTTCCTGTTTGTGTCAAATGGTCAGTAATGTTATGTAGTGTTTTGCTGAAGGGTTCATATCACAGTGTAAAGGATGCTAATGGTTTAACAGGTGTTCTGGGACTGATTCCACTGATTTTGATGGTTTTCCTATAGGGATCTACAGGAGGTCTACAGGAAAACTAGTGGTCTCTAATGCTCACCTTTAAGCCAGTTCCCCTCTAGAATGCAAAAACATCAGGTTCTAATGGTTCTAATGGTCAGTAAGCACTTAAATGCAAAGCTGACATCATTTTTTTTGGGCAAACACGCATCATTATGAGCTGCACCCTGTAAAAACAGACGCAGGTTTAAAACAGCGCAAAGTGCAGCTTCCTACCTTACTGATGGCGACGGCATGCTCGGTGAGCGCGAGCACGCACGCGCACGTGATGATATTCCTGTAAATCCACATTTTGCGTCCAGACGAAGCCGCAGATCTTCCTCCGGAGTGTGCGCGAGCTGCAGACAGCGGTCCAGCGACTCTCACCCTCACACTGCCATGACTGAAGAGCGCGTGTGTCTGTGCGCGCGCGTGCGCTTGTGCGTGTGTAAACTGCGCGCTCTGCACCCAGCGAGACCAGCGAGACACGCCTACTGCAGCACACGCCCATCGCGAGACCTCTCAATCCAGAACATGCCCGCAACTCCCAACACGCGCCTGTACAAGCCCACTGGTGCGTGACTGCACAAGACACGCCCACTACAAGTTGCTAGGCCTGTTCTTTTTAAAGTCAGCCTGAAATCAGAACAATGTTAGTTCATGAGTCCTGATCGTTTTTAGCACTATTCATCTTTATATATCATCTGAAAGACTAAATGTATTGTGATTGAATGAAGTGCCCTGACTTTTGCCCCGCCTCGAAAAACTTCTTCTGAGTTTTGATTACGTCACCGTGCACCAGCGGGCGAGAAAAAGTGATGTTAATTGATGAATGTGTTTACATGCACTTAATAATCCAATCATTATCAGATTTCTGCAGTTATCTGATTATTTAAGTGGTCACGTCTACAGCATACTCCGATTTCTTAGATCGATTAAGGCCTGGAAATCTAATTAAAGGTGCAGTGTGTAAAATTTAGAGGGATCTTTTAGCAGAAATGGAATATAGTATACAAAACCATGTTGATATTAGTGTATAATCACCTGTGACAACACATCATTGTGTTTTCGTTAGCCTAGAATGAGACCTTCATATCTACTCAGGGAGCGGGTTCTCGTCAAGCAGAGGCCATCATGTTTCTACAGAAGCCCAGAACAGACACTGGCTCTAGAGAGCGCCTTTTACGTTTTTACATTAAAGTGGCAGTTTGAATTTGGTGGCACTATAGCACTGGTTGGAAGACGCAGAAAGAAGTGGTTGATGCTGGTGCTGGCTAACGATGTTTGAGAACCCAAATGTTGACAAATGGAGGACCAGACTTATTACTCAGCACAAGAGAAAGGAAGGGAGGGTGAATCCTCGTCGTCAAAGAAGCGAAAACATGAAGAAGCAAAACAAAATCGGGACGGGCGACGGAAGAAAACCTGACAGCCACTGTAGGTTCTACTACATGCTTGGAAAGGGAGGGGTGAGGGAGGGGGGTTCAGTTGGTTGCAATCTCCAACCTCACCACTAGTCATGTGTTATTCTGTGAGTTTATTGGCTGGTTGCAAAGCATAAATCCAATTACTGCCTGACTCATGTAGACCATAACTTTCCCATTATCTGATTACTCAAACACATACAAAAGAGTTGAACGATTTACTGGCAAAAATCTGATTTTCTGCAGTTATCAGACTAATAAGTGCCTATAAATGCCCTCAATGACAACATGATTCACCTCCACCTTCCACCCCACCTATCATTGAGAAAAAACACTCAGCTAGCTCAGAGGCCCTCTCTCACATAGCAAATATGACATATGATTTTTGATTTAAGTTGATTTTAAAAACAGAAATCATACATTAGCACTGTTATTTTTTCATTTGCATGTGTATTAAGTTACTCCACTGTCCTCGTTTCGATGTGGTCTTTCAAACCTGCCACCAAGTTCCTCTCGTTGGTGCTCAGCAGTACAATCACTCACACAAGCAAAACAAGCCAGCTAGTGAAATGCTATTGTTAGATAACGTAGCTCTTTTGCCTTTGTAGGTGGGAATCTTTATTTTTAATGCATGTAATGTGTTCTCTGCACACGCGACACACATCCACATGCTTATTGGAGTTTTTTTTTTGTGTGTGTGTGATTTTTCAGCAATGCCAGCTTACATTTCATTCATGGGCTAACGACAGGCTTCTTGTTAACTGGATACTGCTGATGAACGCGTTGGATTGTTTCGGACATTTCACACTCTGTTCCCACCCTGATAAGTCTACATTTCCCCCATATTTAGTCTAAAATTTCTCATGGTTATCCCCAGTCATCCCCAATCAACTACAACACGGTTCCACTGCAAGCAATGTCCACTACAGCGGTTTTTCTCAACCCTGGTCCTGGAGGCCCACTTCCCTGCACATTGTAGTGCTTTCCCTGCTTTAACACAGCCACTTTAACTCAACAATAGACTGGTAATGAGCTGATTAGTTGGATCAGGTATGTTGGGAGCAGGGAAAACACTAAAAACGCAGGGTAGTGGGCCTCCAGGACCAGAAATGAGAAGAACTGCTCTACAGGACACATGGTCTGTCCCACAGTCCACACTGATGCACACATGCACTTTCAAACTTAGAAAAAGTGCACAAGCCCTTGTTAAGACTGTAAGTGTGCAGATATGTATGGAATATCTGTGGGACAGCTGGCAGTTACAGACGGTTTCAGGACGTTCCCCAATGTCTCTGATACAATGTGCTAGAATGTCACCAGTGCATTAAACTGTGTGATATACATACTGAGCCCAATGCTGATTTGATGCCGTCTTTGGGAAAGGGTGTGTTTAGTTTTTGCACATTTGAGAAAGACAGGACATACTTGACTTTCTAGAAAGTGCATTTAAGGTAAGTGTAAAATTTGGGACAGGTAACCTGATGACAGGACACGCCCACTACAAGCACACTCAGTGTGGGACACACCCACCTCAAGACATTTCTAGGACAAAACATATTTTCTGCAAGACATTTGCCCCAAAAGACAAACCCATATTGAGAAAAAAACTTGTGAGATATATGTCAAATATATGGTTTTCAAATATATATTCCAAGCAGTGAAGTACACTGAACCCCCCCCCAAAACATGTTTTGTCCATTTTCAAACATTTTCAAATGTAATAGATAGTCTATAATAATACATTTCACATATATTTGTTTTTTCATGTGGGAAACCCTAAACACAACTTACAATTTACTAACTGCAATACACAACCGCTACAATCTATGTTCACTATAGGACACTTTATTTTGTATTTTATTAAACTAGAGCAAAAATTCTAAAAATAGCTCATTCGGTGCTTAAATACCATTGTATTTTTAATTTTTCATCACTGTACAGTGCTAATAAACAAACTCAACCAAGGTGCAGTGATTTAACTGCTAATTAGCTCTACTATGACATCTTTGTTTCCAAAAGTAAATGTATGAAATCTAACCTCCTTTTTTGCCCAGGAACAGTGAATCAAGTCATTTCTGGGACTGTTTAAAACACACAGAGCTGCACACTACACTTAAGTTAAAATGCTTTAATATAACTTCACTTTAATATATCAGTACATTGAATACTACAATATTCCTTCAGTAAAAGTAGAACGATTATATCTGTATTTCCACTTGAGGTGAAAATAAGTTGCTTTTTAATGTGCAGTTCTATCGTATTACTGTGATGAATAGAATCTAGAAGTGTTATACTTTGTTTAACATTGCTTTTAACCTTAAACACTGTGCACTCTACACTTGGTCCGTGGACATCTTTTCATGACTGGCTTAGGTCTAAAATATCGAGATACATCTGTTTGGGTCGGCCTGTTCTTGGAGGAGACAAGTATTGAATTTCTAATGCATATTTTGATCTGTTGTGCTGTGCAAATACTTTATACACAAGCACTGATGTACTTAGGTGATTCTCCAAATATATATGTGGAAGACGGAAGTTCATCTGTTGCATAAGTCTCTGGAAAGTGTGAAAAATTAAACCATTAAGGGAAAACCATTTTTGTTGATCGATGGAGCTTTTTTTTTATTTTTTATCTATTTATTTACCATTTTTCCCCTCTTTATCTGTTGACTTTGAATGTTCTGTTGGCAATATATATGCCTTGTGTTTTGCACACTGATTAACTATAGGATTAAAAAATCCACACTTGGTCCGATTGTGCCTTTGATTCTATAGCTGTTCTTATAGCGCCATCTCTTGGTCAAAGTGAAGAAGGACACCAGGGACACATTCGCTCCGGTCAAATAAAACCTAATTTGACTTATTTAAATAAATCATTTAACTGGCGGTGATTGTGCAGCATTTAAAGCCTCTCAAACGCGTGAAAGCTGTTTTTGTTGTTTGTCGAGCGAAGCTAAAGCGACCGTATAAATGTTACGTGTTTTTGAACAGTCTCGTCTGGGCCAGCTGAAGCCCCGCCCCTTTAGAGCAACCGCGACTTCTGATTGGTTAACAGCCCATACGGAAGGGAAGCGGAATGTTTACCCACGTTGTAGTTCCGCACATGAGAGCAGGATGGTGCGGCTGAAAGCGAGGTAAGCGTTAAGCTTTATATAATCTAATTTTCATGTTTTGGTGTTTTCAGACGGATGTTTTGCCTGTGTGTGTATTCTTGTAGGTATTTGCTGTGTGAGGTGTGCGTTTCGGAGAGAAGTAAGCTCCAGCTTTTGGAGGAAAGGGCCATTTTCCAAGCAGTTAGAGCCGCAGTGGTCAAAGCTCACGGCGAATACGGAGCAGCGCTGTTCAGCATCGGCACTGGAGGTCAACACTGCAGCACATCTCCCCACACAAACACCTCAACTAGGAGTAGCAGGCTTGTCTCAAGGGGTTTCGGTCAGACAGGATGAGGCTAAGGCTGTTTTTAATGTGGCGAGCTGTCAGGAGTGACTAGAGGAACCTAAGACCACCTCCAAGTCTTACAGCTACAGTGAAATACTACGACGGCGCTTTAGGGCCACTGTTAATAACAGAAGTACACTTCAAGAGGAAAGTCGTAATATTTCGAGAAAAAAGTCGTAATATTTCGAGAAAAAAGTAATAATATTTCGAAAAAAATTCGTAATATTTCGAGAAAAAAAGTCGTAATATTTCGAGAAAAAAGTAATAATATTTCGAAAAAAATCGTAATATTTCGAAAAAAAGTCGTAATATTTTGAAAAAAGTCATAATATTTTGAAAAAAGTCGTAATATTTTCAGAAAAAAAGTCGTACTATTTCGAGAAAAAAGTCGTACTATTTCGAAAAAAAGTCGTACTGGGGTGAGGATGAAGTGGTCTAACTGTAGGGGGGCTAACTGTAGGGGGGCTGCCATAACGCGTTGTTGTCTTGGTTGCTGTACTGGTGCCGGAGCTCCACTCACTCCTGTCTCTCTGTGGATCATTTTGATCATCATTCTCACTGTCTGTGAAACTTCATGCCCTCTTTGAATGGGGGGAGATGTAGCCCCCGATAGCCGTGTAGACGACCCTGCCTGAGATTCTCCTTCAACAACACAGACAGACAGTTTCCTCCGAGTCCGTCTGGCTCTTTATTCTAGATAAAGACAGTTTCCTGCTCAGCCGTTTCAGCCGGTTCTTATACTAATAACAGGCTGGTGCTGCTGAGCAGGAGAGACAGGGAGACTGAGTGTTTCTTTATGGGTGAATCGATATGAAAGTAGAACTACCAACTCCTGAACTCCTTAAACACGAGGAGGTGCTGCCTTCCCTTTGCACAGCCTTTGGCCACAATATTGTGACTTTTCCTGGTATTAATGTCACTTTAATGACGTAATTCTACGACTTTGTTTCTCGAAAAAGTACAACTTTTTTCTCGAAGTGTACTATCTTTATTTTTATTAACAGTGGCCCTAAAACGGCGTCATAGAAATACAGACTTAGAAAGAAGAGTCAAAAAAAAGTCACAAACAAAACAAAAACAAAAAAATGTTTCAGGTCCAAAAACTCCTCCTAGAACATCTTGGTATATCCAGCATCTCTCAGCATAGGAACTGAAGTTTGTTACACACTTAAAGATGGTTCTTCAAGCATTCTTTAGTAAAGGGAATGGTTCTGTTATTTAGAACCTTTTTGAAAATGGTTCTGCACCAAAAGGGGTTCTGCTATTGTTACAAGCTTGACATTGTAACGAAAGCAACAATAGCAGAACCCTTTTTGGTTCTTCAGATTGATGGAGGATGTGGTGTGTGTGGTTCTATGTAGAACATTTTTGAATGGTTCTATATGGCACCGAAAGGGGCTCTGCTTTTGTTAAAGGTTTGACATCTTAACAATAGCACAGCACTTTTTGGTGCTATATAGGACCATTGTCAGAAAGGTTCTGTATAGAAACATATACAACACATTTTCCATCAATCAAAAGAACATTTTCACCATGCAAAGAACAATTTAAGCATGAAATGGTTCTGTATAGAACTCATGGTGCAAAATAGAGTCAATGGCTTTACTAAAGAACCCTTGAAGAACCATTTTTTTTAAGTCTGTAGTCCAGGCTCTTCTATTCTGGGGACCCTTTTGGTCTAATATAAAGTGCTAAAGCTCCAGTGTGAGAGGTGTGAGCAGCAGTAAAACAGCCCTGGAGTTAGCAAACACAGCAGGATGAAATTAAACCCCCCAAAAAGAGGATTAAGAACTAAATGTGAAGGACTAAAGTAGAACAAAGTGGCAAGAATACATTACATTCCTCGATAAAGCACTTTTTCCTCTTTCACCAGCCTGTCATAGTATGAAATCCAAATCTGTCCCTCAAATCTATTTTTGATAAAATAAACACCAATCAGGCATAACATTATGACCACCTCCTTGTTTCTGCGCTCATTGTCCATTTTATCAGCTCCACTTACTATATAGGTGCACTTTGTAGTTCTACAGTTACAGACTGTAGTCCATCTGTTTCTCTGCATACTTTGTTAGCCCCCTTTTACCCTGTTCTTCAGTGGTCAGGACCCCCATGGACCCTCACAGAGCAGGTACTATTTGGGTGGTGGATCATTCTCAGCACTGCAGTAACACTGACGTGGTGGTGGTGTGTTAGTGTGTGTTGTGCTGGTCTGAGTGGATCAGATGCAGCAGTGCTGCTGGAGTTTTTAATGTTATGCCTGATTGATAGACATAGTTAATGTGTGAAAATTAAGTTATGACGGCCTCTGTCTGTAGAAATAATACAAATATACAAAGCTTCATCAGCTTTATGCTAAAAGGTCCTGTTGCATATAGATTACATAGTACAGGTTTGTATAAAGTATATAATAATTAAGATTAAAGCTACAAACTACTTGTAGTTTTTTTTTAAAGCTACTTATTTTGACTCACTGTGCAAATCCAGCAGTTGATGGTAAGAACTTTGTGATCTGCTGTAACTCGTTAAAAAAATAACAGAACCTGAAAGATCTTTTCTTAGAGTTTCAGAGGCTGTTTTGTAAGTAAAAGTTGACTCATTTCAGTGACGTACCTGAATGCCTACACCGGGGTGGTCATCCTGCGGTTCCGGAAAGCCCACTACCAGCTCCTCTGGTCTGCCCTTCCCTTCATTAACTTCATAGAGAGCCAAGGCCAGAAAGTGCCCTGCTTCTTCAACTGTATACATGTTGGAGGTAAGAGGTTCTCTGCTTGACTTATAGTTAGTTTGACCAGGCTTTTGTGAAATTGTGTCTTTTTCATTCGGTTTGGGTGTTTTCAGGTTATAATGTATATATTATATAATATATAATAAAGTGCAACAAGTGATACATCCCTTGATGAGCAAGGAATTTGGTGGGGTTACAAGCCTCCATATGCCTTCATTAGAGGCAAAATAAATATGTTCATATATATTCCTGGTAACACTTTATTTGGATGGTCCGCTGTAGATGCTTTGTAAATGCTCAGTGTATCTTTAAGTAACATCCAACTAAATATCTATTAAATGCAACTAAACTACAAGTTCAGTGTGAAAGAGTTTATTAAATCTATCCCTACTCCTAACCCTAACCCTAACCCTAACCTCAAGGCTAAACTTACATCTACTCCTAACCTTAACCCTAACCACAGTGTTGTTGATAATCAACTGAACGTTACCGGAAATTTTGTTAATGATTTAAGTATCTGTATAATAGCACTTGCTATGTCCAAATAAAGTGTGACCCTATTCTTAGTTTCACTAGCCTATGATTTGTATACACTCCAGATTATTTATCATTACTGCATAATTCAGTGTTTGAGATGAAAAACTAAGTTAGAAGTGAAAAGGTTTATTGTAGTCAAATTCAGTGGCTCAGATTTCTTTACAGTGGTGGTGATAGGAACCAGGGTTCACCATGTCTGTAATACAAATACAGCAATGTTATTTACTATACAAAGTTTTTAATTATATGTAATGTTGATGATGGTAAAATAGCAAAAAAAAATCAACGTTTTCTTTGTGGGCCCTGCTTTGATTTTGCCCTGCTTGTGTTTCTCCACCATGAATGTATTTTAATACACTTTTGGCCAAAATGTATACAATATATCTGATGCAGTGCCATTGGGGAAAAAAACATTTTAAGCTTGGCCTAGGCTGATCTGGTTCTGGTAAACTGGCCTATAATAAACCAGTTAAACTCATGGCATAGTGTGACTTCCTAATTTAGTTAATTTGGTCCAATCTTTTAATCAGATTTCAATCAAACTGTTTTCTCTCACTGCCTGATTCCACAGGAACCATTAGAACATGTCAGAAGTTTCTTGTTCGATACGGCAGACAACAGCTGTATCGAATGCTGCCACACTGTAAGACGGAGGGTAAGGTCTTCTCTTCATCTCACTGTCGTTCAGTCATGCTGAGCCGGTTGCTTTATAAGACTGTTAGTGTTTTTAGGGTAAACTAAGAAAGAAAGGTAGCGGAGAACAGTGGAGTATACTCTACTGCTATGCAATAGCATTTAATTAGGGCTGGGCAATATGGCAATAATTAGTGATAAATTATATCACAGTACGTCGCGATATGCTTTCCAGAGCATAATGTGGATATTATCTGTACTTGAACACTTCATCTGCATGTTTTATTACAAAGAGGGCATCATTAGTTTTGTTTAATTGGATTTAGTCCAGCTCAGTGTGTGAAATGTTGAACAAATTAAAAAGACAAATTATTGGATTCATGGTTTTTTGTTTTTTTTTTAAGGGTTTTTAGAATGTGGCAATATTTCATCTGTTCCAACATATTAGAAAAGATAAATATTGTGACATATTGTGTATCATTAAAACTTTTTGAAGTATTGTGATATTGCATTTTATGTCATATTGCCAAACTTTTTAAAAAAGTCTGTGAACATTTACAAACAGTGAATGAGATTTATAATTCTTTATAATGTTGAACACTTTATTACTTTGAGTTGATAAATTGTTCTAATAAATAATAAATACGGGTGTGAAGATTCATAAAATTCATAATTCAATATGATAAAAATGATGTCTCGATTTGATACATTTTTGATACACCAAACATCAACACGTCTCAGCTTAATGTTTCCTTTTTTAGTTAAGTATAGTATTCAGCGTCATAAAAGTACAACATTTGAAACAAAAGTTCTTTATACCGTTGTTTGCAAAAGTTTAAGCACCTATGGTCATGTATTTTGTTGATTTTCTATATGAAAAGAAGTTCACATCCTCTACAGAGAACACAGTTCTGCACATTTTTAATGCACAATGACTGTTTATTTGCAGAATTTAACATACACTGGGGGAAAAAAATGCCCTATGCAGAAGTCATAGCATATTTTATAAGATTATTATATGTATCTTTTTCCAATGTATTAAAGTCAGCAAATAAATAGAAAAATGTCAAATTTACGTTTTAATTTTTACTTAAAAAATCAACAAAATATAGCCTGTGTTCAAACTTTTGTATATGACTGTAGTGTCCCAATCTAATACTCTAACCACAAGCTAATAGGTTAGTGTGAGCCCCAAGCCTAAGCTCATATGCATATGTTATATGAAAAAGCTGTCTTAATTTTAATTAATGATTTTCTCTTCTTCCTCCACACAGCTGAAAAACAAGAGGTGAGGAGAGCGGTGTTCAGTTGTTCTCAAAGGTTGTACAAAGTCACACAAGAGCAATGTGAAGATGATGATGATGATGGCGAAGAGAGTGAAGAAGAGCAGACCTAACTACTTTTGTGCCATAGACCACATTTGTGGAAAGACATGCTTATTTATTCCTATTATTTCAAGTTTCTTAACCTTCAAGCCAGGAGAGAAGAGTCGTTTGTACACACAGTTATTATAAGGCTAGTAGTTAGAATGTTTACATTACATTAAAATAAAAGTGCAAACTTCATTTTGGAAACATTATTTGTGTTATCGCTTTATAAAAACCTGATATTTGCGATAAATAACCAGTTTCTGTTCGTATGTTTTGGAATGTAGTAACCTGTATAATAAATTGAATAATTAGACTTTCTATGTCAGATGTGTGTTATTGTATGTTTTCCATTCCGGCCCAAATGTGGCATAGATGTTACTCAATGATGTCCTATGATTCAGAGTTCAGCCTTAACTAAGTAAAAGAAGTTAAAATCCTCTATGATCACTTCATATATATCATGGTAGGTAACAAACAGGGTTTAGTATACAACATGCAAATCATAAGCAGTAAAGTCAAGCTGAGATCAAATTGGGCGTTAGTTCATGTTCCTGGTCATATTAGCCACAATTTAATTATATTATTTAAAAGACAGCATTCTTGGTCTTAAATGTCTTCTGATTTTTATTACATCACTGTGCACCAGGAGGCAGGAGAAAATAATATTAAATAATAATAATGTTTTACCTCCTCCTCCCACCATCCCCACCTACCATACAGAGAAATACAGAGCTTTACATGGAAATGTTTCAGTGAGTGCGTTTACATGCACTCAATGATCCGATCATGATCTGATCTCTGCAGTTTTCTGATTATTCAGATGGTCATGTAAACAGCATATTCCAATTTCTTAGATCAGAGTAAGGTCTAGAAATCAGATAAAGGGAGCTGGATTCTAGCTCAGTGCATGTGAACTCTTACTCTGATTTCTTTCTGATTTCTCAGTCTGCATGTGTGAAAACAGACGGCGGTACTGGAAATAAGCAAGCAGACGCAGCAAAACACTTCTGGAGCAACGCTGTAACCAACTACGAGCTTAAATACTCATCATATTAATGATAATCATCAATTTTTACATTATTTGGCAGATACTTTTATCCAGAGCGACTTACAATTTCATAATTTTTACACAGGTAGGTGAAGGTATTGTTAGGAGTCTTGCCCAAGGACTCTTATTGGTATAGTGTAGGGTTGTTTCCCAGGCCGGGGAATGAACCCCAGTCCACAGTGTAGAAGGCAGAGGTGTTACCCACTACACCAACCACACATTGTGATGATGTACATATTTTCAGGTAAAGTGGCACAACATTAAAAAGAAAAAGACGCAGCATGAAGTTTGAGTTGTACATTAAGTTTACGTCACGTCTTCCTCTGTGAGTTTATTGGCTGGTTGCAAAGCAGAAATCTGATTACTGTCTGACTCATGTAGACCCGGAGTTTCCCCATTATCTGATTAGCCAATTGAAACGCGTTGATCAGATTACTGACCAAATCTGATTTTCTGCAGTTATCGGATTATTACGTGCATGTAAACGCATTGCGTGAAAGAAAAATACATTATGATTTGTGATTAACTTCAGCTGTGTTCAGAATCACTGTCAGTATTAAATTAGTATTAAAAAGTGTGATATATAGCATTAGCCATGTTGTACAGTGGTTTGAATTCTCAGTGGTAAATATTTTAGACGTTCTACAGTCAGTTCACTACATAGTAAGTGCTATTTAGTGTACAGTAAATGAGTTAACAAGTGAACCATTCCAAAAACAACAGCTTTAAAACCTTAGGCCGTGTTCGAATCCAGTTGTTTTTGAGGACGTAGTGCATAAAATTCTGGTTGCCCTTTCTAGTGTGCTTCAAACTGCTACCATGCAGCATCACATATGCCAGAATTTTATCTATGATCTTGGAGGGCACCATAATGTGATATGCAATAATGCACAATCTGTATGGACTTTCTGTACCCATATTTTTGTTAACATCAATCAGACAACCAAAAGAGGAAGAAACCACCTGTGGTAGTTTAAAAATGCTGGTTACAGTTGTGTTTCACAGTATCAGTGGCTCACATAAAGGCTGGTACATTAGACTGCGGTCCAATATTTACATTTGTGTCATAAGCAGAATACTAAGCTAAGGTTACATTTCTACCAGCCAGACTACTACAGCAGTTTGTGAGTTCAGACCATGCCTTCAACATGTGGTGGTAGTATGAGGAAGAATTGATTGAGAGAGGGAGGAGAACTCTGAGAACTTAGGCTGGAGTTCTGGGCAGCTTCTGCCAGTAGCTAGAAGGCCAGATCCCCCCTCGTAGCTGTAGTAGGCCTGATGCAGGACTGAGGAGATGGGGTGGCGGTGGGGATAGCGAACACGTCGTCACGGTAATGGAAGGTGAGGATGTGAATTTACAGGGCGTTAGATTGAAAGAAGGAGGAGTTTCAGTCATGCTCCTCCCCTCAAACTTCAGTTATAACATAACTACATTAAGAACACTCTCTAGTTGTAAACTGGGAGCCAGAACTCAGGAGCCTACAGTTAAAGGGGAACTCCAATGATTTTTGAAAGTACTGTGTAATTAAACAGTTACTGTGTCAACAAAATCATTCTGACAACAGCTGTGTTTCGGCATAAAATACTTAATTCTAGAGAAACATACCAAGTCAGAAGGTACCAGACGTTTACTACATGACATGGTTATGGCATACCAGAAAGTTATTACATGACATGGTTATGAGTTCGTTGCCTGGTGTCTGAGACATTGTTTTATGGTAGTTTTGTGATCAAGTTTTTTATCTAAATTATATTTAAATCAATTAATAGTAGAAGGAAGCAAGAAGGTTGTTGTAAGACAAAATTATCCCCAAAGAAAACTTTTTTTTTTTCCCATATTGACCAGTATTTTACCATCATCAATATTATATTTAAAAAGTCATGGCCACAACTAAGTAAAGCATGGGAACGAGATCCTAATGCGTGGCCATGACTTAGTAAGCCGCGATCTCATTCCCACGCCTTACTAAGTCGTGGCCATGCATTAGGATCTCGTTCCCATGCTTTACTTAGTTGTGGCCATGACTTAATCATCTCATTCCCATGCCTTACTAAGTCGTGGCCACGCATTATTTTTATTTATACAGGATGTCAACAGCGGGGCTCCGTACTGTCCTACACTTGTCTTCTGATTTTTTAAATATAATATTGATGGTTCCTATCACCACCACTGTAAAGAAATGTGAGTCTTGGATAAATTCCGAAAAATCGGTAGGGGGCCCCTTAAAAAACATGGTGTATCCTCGTACAGTAGCTCTGCGTTTTAGTACACAAATGTGCGTGTGTTTTGGCTTATGTAGCCCCATCCGGGTGTTTAGGCATGAACCAATCACAACTGAGGCACAGAGGCACGTGACCACTTGGACTATATAAGCCCCTTGCGGGTGTTTACTGTTCCTGTTTGGCGACCCGTCGCCACAAGCGAGATTCCGTTGATGCGACAAGAATTCGGGCAGAAAACCTAAATTTATCCGTTTTCCAGCGTTGGAGAGCGGTTAACGCCTTGTGGGGCGCCACAGTTCCCACTACAAGGGAGCAAGCGGACCGTTTTCGGGGTTGAAGACCCCGCTCTTTGAGCTCAAGGCCCTTCTTACCTACCCGCTCTCCTTTTCTGAGACATCTTGATTGTGTCTCTGTTTTTCTTCTCTCGGTTTTGTGGTCAAAATGTCGCCGTAATGGAGAACCCGCGCTGGACAGAAATGAACCAGGGCCTTGGTCGCCTGACCCGCACTAGCACCGACCCGCTGTTTTCTTGTTTTGTTCCGTTTAATGCTAGAGAGCTCGGCGGCTCTCTCACCGGAGCTTGGCCTCAACGCTTCACCCAGCCAGAGCTGCTCAGATATGGAGAAAAACCCGAACGCAACCCGGTCCAGTTCAACAGGCCCGACATCTGCAGATTCTAAAACTAAAACAGGTCGGTGTGGCTGTTTATGCGCTTTGTGACTTTTACGATGAGGTTCAATTTCGGGTCAGTAAACCTGAATCGAATTGTTTACCTCAGTCGAGACCAGATGGCCTAGTAGGCCCCGAGATTAGCTCGCTGCTCGCCAGCGTCCTGCTCGAACTCCCCGTTCCACCTTAAACGCTTCAGTAAACGCGTTCTTGCGCCTCGGACGCCAGAATGCAAGTGCTGCACCGTTTAAGGTGGAACGGGGAGTTCGAACAAGAAGCTGCAGAATTGTTTTAAGGGATATAGCTAGAGTTGTGAGCTTCACGAATAGACTGTAAATGTGAAGAATATTCGAGAGAAGCTGCAAAAAGTTTAAAGTAAAACTTTTGAAGTAAACGGCTTAGCTAGGCCTCTAAAGCCTGGCTAGCCTCGCTAAGGTATCCTAGTTTGAGACTTTCACTCGAGTTCACGAATGTAGTTTGCTGTTGTGTAACTTGGCTACACGTGTTAAATAATCCTCACGTACATTTTCATGTTTTAATAAGGATTCGATGTTTTTTTTCTCCGTTTCTGTTTATGAGAAGTTAGTAACGTCGCGTGTGCCGTTAGCTTAACTTGGCTAGCCTGAACAGCGTTTAGCTCAGCCTGTTTAGTCTGTCAGTGCTGGGTTTTCAGGCCTTTAACCAGACAGAAAAATCATTTATCACCCGTTTCTGATGGAACATAACCTTCTCAGGTCTCAGGTCGGAGATTGATTTAGCAGCTTTTACAGGTTAGTTGTTTTGCTAACTTGGCTAATGCTATCTACCAAACGAATGACAGTTGCGGATGCTGAACGCGTCGCAGGGCATTCATTGTATGTGTGGCTCTTTAAATGGAAATAAAACTCTTTTATTGTAAGTTTTATTTTGAAAAGTTTAAAAACTCTGAGGTTTGGTCTGAAATGAAGTGGTTCATTGTAGAGAATCTTGTTTAGAGTTTAGGAACCAGGAGTTATGATGGCCAAAAGGCAGATATAGCCATTATACCATCCAAATCCAAGGCGTTAACCTACATGAGTTTTATGTAATGTTGATAAAATAGTGGAAAAGCTGACGAGAATTTCGACTTAAGATGCCCTGAATGGATTTTAAAAATGTTTTAGGCCAAAACCTTCTCACAGCTGTTGACAACGTCTCTGGCACCAGGCAGCGTGTTTGTAACCACTTCGTCGTAACCTGTGACCAGATGTTTGGCTCCTTTCACCACCACTGTGAAAGATTAAGTTGGCAGGTTTTTCTAGAAAGGAGCATTTAACATCAGACCACTCTAAATGACTGTCTTAATGATTTATTTATAGGTATTTTGGGGGAAAAAAAAATCAAAAAGAATTC